AGCAAGATGTTGGGATAAGAAAATAATATTAAAGTCTTTTGAAGACTGAAGTAAAATCACTACTAAAACGTGGGACACTTGGGATGGTCGGGATTTTAGCCTGATGTGTTGAACGCTTGTAGGCTAGTTGAATAAGCAACTACCTTGAGCAGATAGTTCTTCGAAACATCACAAAGCAAAAGAAGTTGACCTGAGCACTAGAAAGATAGTTGTTCAACAATACGTTCAATACACTTGCCGAGTCATTACACTTCTCCCAGCGTCAGGTTTCCAACGTCAACTCAGAAAGTGACATGGACACAAATACTACCAAATACCTCAAGGAAGCATGTATATCCACTTTCACTAATGGTTTCGCATCTTCTCACAATGGTGAAACAGATTTTTGGTGAATGACAGCGGAGGGGTGCCATAACAGCAGAGCAGTCACAGAGTAGTTCGGTTGATGATCTTCAATACTGTCACAAGAAAAAAAAAAGATTTTCAGTGTATTTGTCTGGTAACCAATCACTGACAAAAACAAACAAAGAGTTTGGATACTAACCTTACCCGCTGGAGTGAAATGGAGACAGTGTTGCAACAGGTCGCAGACATGGGAGGTTAGGTAGCGGACAGCTCGCCGAGCAACTTGATCGAGGTGATAACTTCACATTGTTTTACCCTCCCCTTACTTTTGAACACTTTTCAACACCACACTTCACACCACCCCATTCATTCATTCCACGAGGAGGCCAGGGTCTGGGCCAGGGGCCAGGCCGCGACGAACAGCCATTCAATACCATTCAACCCGTTCCCATTTTAAGATACGGCACTCTCGTCGATTTCAAAAAATGGCCCATTGCAGGTCGGCTACATTTCCGAACTTCATTTAACACGTAAATACAGATTTTATCGATCAAAATCTGACCTGACAGAACACACGCACACACACACACACGCACACGCGACGCAAGGTTGGACACGAAACTGCCGGTACGTTTTGACCAATGGTCGAGCTTCCACCGACCGCCACCAGGTGGCGCAGCCATTTGACGGCGAGGTTTTCCTCGAATTGCCAACCACAATTTAAAATGCGACTCGTCGTTTGGGTTACGAACGGAACGGCCCCGAGAGCGTCGCTGCGACACTCGCTCTTTATTCTTCGCCTCGTAATGAATCCTTAGCCCGGTGCACACCGGATGGCGAGCGGGCAGGTCCTCTCTGGAGGGGTTGCTCGGGGGAGGAGGAGACAGATCATTAATTTCTTCAAATACTATACACAGGGGCGCCTCTCCGGCAAACGACACAAAATCAATCTCGCCTGCTTTTTCCCCCTTCCGCTCGCCCTCGCCCGCCGCACCTTCCGCTTGGCCCACCTCTCTAACAGCGCCTAATAATTGTTGGCCGGCCCGTGTATTGTTGCTTTCAGGTTGGCAGCAGCAGGCGAGGCGGGAGCAGGCGGGAGGGAAGGCCAAGGCGATGGTGCCAATAATGAAGCTCGCCATTGTCGGCGCCGTGACGCGGCCGCCCCCCATTGTCACCAATTGTCACCGCCTCGGCCACAATGCGACTGTCACGCCCTCGCAGCCGGATTGACGCGCCTATCCCCCCGCCCTCCCGTCACCGCCGCCGCCCGCTGCTCCTGTTCTAGTCAGCGGCGCCCGCCCCACGGGGACCGAGGATGCCCCAATTATTTGGCCGCGCAACATCCGAGTGGGAAGGGCCGCTAATCACGTGGGCTGTCTGCAGCAGCGGCGGCGGCAGCAGCGACGGGTATCTCTGAGGGCCAGGCCGCTCTGTATCCGCCCGGGCCGGCCGGGCTCCCGACTGACCGCCCCGGGACACATGACCACGGCGCCCAGCACAAGCACACAGTAGCCCGGCCCGGCCGGCGCTTTACCCAAATCGGCTTTGTCGCCTGTACTGCTGCGCCCCCGAGCCGCATGACCCGGCCAGATAAGGGCGCGCCGGCGCTGCACTGCAGCCCGTGTGTGTGTCGGGCGGACGAGGAGGAGAAAAAAGAGGGACGCGGCGGACCAGCAGGCCACCCGCATCAAATGAAATGGGGATTCGAACCCACCGCGCGCGGCTGGCCAAACAAATCCGCCCCGAGCTCTGGCAGGGGGGGGGGCAGGGCTCTGCTCGGCGAACCACATCCCTCGCGCGTTAAAAAAGAATGAGGTTGCCCTTCAAACTGACGTTTTTCTCGGCGGGACCAATAAATTTTTGCCTATCGTGCGTCCAAGAACCATGGTCAAATCGGTCGGGTAGGGGGGTTGGGGGGATGGTAGGGACACTGGCGACTCTGTCCTCGCTCTGGGGCTGCGTTTGAAATGAGGCGGAAGCGGTAGGGGCGGGGCGAGGTGGCAGGGCGTG